TGAGCTGGGACCCCCCCCCCCCAAAACGACCCTGGCCGTTTCCTCTCCATAGGTTGACGGGCGGTGTAAACGGCCGGGGGGATATGATGAAAGGTCGATGTTTCTCGTTCCTAGATAGCATTTCGTTATACCATGGTACATGTTACCTTGGTTTATGCATAGTATACCTAGGTAGAAGGAACATCATACAGTATACTTTAATATATTATAGAAAAATTTGAGGGATTTTGAAAATTGCATAAACTTAGAAATATGTGAAAATATTTGAATGCAGAAAAGTGAAAGGTGTAATCAAGCGGCCACGGCGGGTATTAATCCAACAAAACCCAACTATAGCTATGCGATGTGTAGGCCTTTGGTCATAGAGAGCCCCCTTACTTGACTAACGTATGTATTAAAACAGTAAATCAGCGGTTTAACCCTACATAGAAGGGGAGATGATGATGAAACTCATCATAAGGTGATCATTATTATGATATTAAAGTAAATAAACAAATATGTACAATATTATACTACTTCATAAGAATTGAGTTATTTTATTATTATAGAGAAAATATTTATACGTTTGAAATAATATTTTATCAAATTCTTTTTTGATTATTCAGTCACACTACCGCGTTTGTTAATAGACATTTTTTGTTAATTGTAATCGTTATTGTATAAAACATGTATACACATAATCTATTACATATATTTGTATACAAATATTTAGAAATCGAAAGTTTAAAATTAATTATTATGATATTAAAGTGAAATTACTTAAGTGATGAAGATTGATGTTGATTTATTAGCAATTGTCTTAATATATGTATGCCCATATACATTATTGAGAATGAATAGTATATACCTTATAATATATGTCCAAAACATTATACATTATTATTATTATTAAAACATTATTCTATAGTATACACCTATGTTTAAATAGAATATAACTAGATATAATATGCTATTGTAAGATGGTTAAAACAAAAAGCCATGTGATCAATTTTTCATAATCAAGATCAAACTCGACTAGGTTTATAGGTATATGTACAATATTTTACTATTTCATAAGAATTCTGTTATTTTGTAATTAAATAAAAAAAAAAAAAAAATGTGTACATTAGAAGTAACCTTATTATTTAATCAAATTCTTTTGACTATTAATCAGTTTGTGTTTATTATTAGACATTAATGTGTAAACTTAAATGTATAAAATATATGTATTCAAGAAAACGCTATCTTTTCATGAAAATGACTTATACTTTTGAATGAGAGTGATAAGTAATAATTTCCTTATCTAATTTCTTATCATGTTATTAATGCCAAGTTTGTAATGTATACACATTATCATCATATGTATACACAGTAATCATGAAAAGATAGCGTTTTTCTTCTGTCCTTTTCTCAATACGTATTTCAATGTTTAATACCGTAAAATAATACATGAAAATTCAAATTTTCACAAACTTTAAAACGCTACTGAATATTAATAAGATATTTTTTTACTAAAAATTTTCTTAAATTCTACTCTACAAAATAGCTAGGGTGTATATTATAGATGTATACTAGAACAGTTATTAAATATTATCAGTAAATAATGTTTTTTAACACACGTCGTAAGGTTTATACTGTTCATACTCAATAATGTATATAGGTATACATATAGTAAGACAATTGCTAATAAGTCTACTCTAATCACTTCATATAACTAGGATACATTATCGTAGATACTTATGGTACACCATAAGTATAATATACTTAAATGATTCATGTGTAATACATATACTATACGTGAAAATAGATACTTTAGTATATTGATCTTTGTTGATCGATTTGATCTAACCCAATCATGATCGATAGAGATAGACAGATAAATATATATGGATTACGTACTACGTTAGATATAAGAACTAAATAAATTATCACAGGACATATATTATCAAATATTGGACACTTTCTATGCCACTTGATTATTTTCACATTAATATGTCTATAATCACCTGTTTATACGTGTTCATGCAATAGTGTACAAAATGTATATGTAAATAATTTTTGTTATCGTAATATTCTCTCGCGCCTCTCATTGTAAAATTTTCCCTTCCCTTCTCGTGTGTTTGTCATCTGTTATTGTAAATAGTTAATTTTAAGTGTTTGTGTTTTTCTGTTTATCGTTTTATCGGCAACTATTGCTTTTATAATTATTAAGCGTATGATAAATTGTTTGTCATTACTTTACTTTACTTTCTTTTCGTTCGTTGATATTCGGCTACTGTAGCCTAGTGGTTCTTTTTTGATTGTACAAAATAAATTTACTTTAATTGTTTTCTTAATTGTAAAGGCAAATTAATTATTGTAATAATATTATTATTTTTTTTAATCAAGCCAAAAGTATTAAATTCTTATTGATGAACAAAAAATTGTTGATCTTTTGACGAAATAATCGCCTTCATCCGACAGGTAATTAACCACATTTTATTTGTCAAATTTTGTCAAAATTAGTTATTTGTCAAATTAATTAAACTTAAAGTTAAAGCATAAACAATACGTATAATTATTCACTTATAGATGTTGAGATCTCTAGTTTTAGTTTCGATGCGAAGCTGAGAAGCTATTGGTTTTACTATGATGTGGTTTTTTTTTTTTGTGTCTGTTACCACTTTTTCTCAGCTCTCACCGAACGGATTTCTTTCAACGATACGTCAAAAGATCACAAATCGTATCTAGTCGAAGACATTACCCTCAAAAATTGAAAAAATTTCCCTCGTTTCCCGTAAATGGGAGGGGGGGGCCTCCAAAAAAATTACAAATTTAAAAATCGCTAATTTTCGAAATTTATTTAATTTTTTTTTACTAAAAACTGCTATAACTTTTTTAAAAATAAACATTAGGGGGGCTCGAAAAATGAAAATTTTTTATAATGCTTTGAGGGTAGTGCGGAAAAGTTGCCTTTATACATAAGTAACTTGTGTTCAAAATTTCACCGCCCTAGGATAATGTCTTCTGTTCTGGCAAAGGCCGTGAAATTTCAAAAATTTAGTAAAATTAGAAAATTTATTTTTTTTTTTGAAAATTTTTTTTAAAGGTCACAGAACTTTGCGGTAGTGTGCAAAAGTTTCATCTATATATGGTTAATTAAAGTGCGAAATTTGGCGGTCCACGGACAATATGTTCTGTTCTGGTAAGGAGCCTGAAATTACCCAAAAATCGACAAATACACTGTTTTTTTCATTATTTTACTAACATTTATTAAACATAAAAATAATTGTAAGACACTTGCATACTATTAGACATAAGAATTAAGAAATAAATATTCAAAATAAAAATATATGTTTTATTAGGTCTTTAGGTTTTGTACTGTCTCTTGAATCTAAATTCAGGCATGGCCTTTCTTGATTTTTGAATGGAGCGAATACNCTTGAATCTAAATTCAGGCATGGCCTTTCTTGATTTTTGAGTGGAGCGAATAAATCCATCCCGTTTTTTATGACCACACACTTTCTTTGAAGCCTCCGTTACCAATTTTACTGATCTTTCCACAGCTTGTGTGTGGCATGGGAACTTTGCAAAATTCCAGTCAATTGGTATTGTTTTTTTTAGCAGACTTTTCAAATAGTGTGTAGTTACATTATTCAGTATTGGTGGTGGAGCTACTTCGCTAGACGACCAGTCAATTAGTTCGATGTAGTCGTTTGCTTCAAAGTTTATTTTTGGAATATCGAACTTTCTAATCCCATTGTGTCCATCCATCTCACATGATTCTCGTGCTTTTATGATTCTTCGAATTCCAAGGGCTCTGATATGTTTTCTCTCATCAGTCAGCATCGCGAGCAGAATATTTTCCGGAGATGCGAAGTAAGCATTTCGAGAAATCACTGGGTCGATGACGTTGCGTTTGACTTGATCCAAGTATCTGGATGACTGAATGAAATGATAAAGATGCCGAGCTCCATCCTTAATTGAAAAAACGTGTGAGCTTCTTCCAGTGGTAAAATATGAGCCAGTTAACTGCACCTTGCCATCAGATGATGTATCCACTTTGAGTAAAGACCAGAAGTATCTGAGGGATATTGCTCTCGCTGTTAGCTCAGGCATATCTCCTCCAGATCTTGCTAAGCGCGATCCAGGTCCCCTAAACATGTCACGTTGGTTGACAACAGCCAACAGGATATTGAGACTGTATGTTTCCACCACGGAACCATCAGACAACTGACGTACGATAGTAGAGTTTGTTATCAGGGTGTATGCGCCATCTTGGTTCCGCATCAAAATCAATCCTAGCTAATTGAATTTTTATATATAATTTTATTAGCTTATTAGATATAAACATTTAAAGTTTCAAAATTTTGAGTTAATATACATGTATAATACACATGGGATTGTGAATACAGGTAGCTAATTGGATTTTTATGACATTGCTGTCTCAGTCACGGATTGTTTATTATCAATTATGATTATCATTAGATATACTTTCTGTATTGTCAGTTAGTGTATTTATAAACTCATAACAATGTGCCTTACTACAACTGATAATAACAATGCTGTGTNTTATGAGTTTATAAATACACTAACTGACAATACAGAAAGTATATCTATTGATAATCATAATTGATAATAAACAATCCGTGACTGAGACAGCAATGTCATAAAAATCCAATTAGCTACCTGTATTTACAATCCCATGTGTATTATACATGTATATTAACTCAAAATTTTGAAACTTTAAATGTTTATATCTAATAAGCTAATAAAGTTATATTAAAAATTCAAATGCCATTTACTATTAAATTAAAAACTCAAACATTTTATTAAATTAAAAATATGTGTTACCGTTTAAAAAAACAAAGTTGACCTCCCTCCAAGGCATAAGGGATGAACTTAAAAAATATTACATAGTTAAAAATTCAAGAATAATGTGTAACTAAAGATAATAATAAAAAAAAAATTTTTAATTATTATTATTCTGTAAGTAATTGAGTGGGTTATGATAAAAAAATCACCGTGTATATATATATATATATAATGTTTAATGGTCAAAAATAAATTCAATTATTGTTTTTGTGCTTCCTGAAATGATTACATAATATTATATAATGCTTATTTTAATAGAAGAGGTCTTACTCATACATTGAAATAACTAATTAAATATTAAATACGTATTTGGAGTACTAAAATTATATAATTCACTTCAATGAATAAATACGGACTTTGGCCATTGCCAAAAATAATGTTGATGTATTTTATGAAAACTTGTATCTACGTAATCAGTTTTAACATAGTTTTCACAAAAGTCATATAAATATTTCGAAAGTAATTCATATTTGGTGACAATTGAGTCAGTTGCCATTGTTGTATTAATAATAAGTTCAGCGTTAGAAAATTTAGCGTCCAGATGTTCCTTAGTAACTAATAAACCTTTTGAATAACAGTTATTTTTGTTTTGAATTTTTAAACTACGTAACATACTGAAAAACTTATATCTTGCTTTCTGAAAACTTATCATGTAATCACTAGCTAAATTTTCAATATTTACTTCAGGTTTGTTTATAAACATATTTCGTATTACATCATTAGTTTTAAGTTCAATTACATAATTATATATTAAGTTAAAAATTGAACGTAAGTTAGGAAATATTTTTTGGGGTAGCCATAATGTTGATAATTTTATTTTTTCCATAATAGTCAGCATAAAATCGAACATTTTTACTGTTTTATTAATTGTGCCAAAAAGATATATTATACATTTCACATGCTCGTTTAAGTCTTTATGACTTCTACACATTCCACTTAAAGCAGTTAATGACGTATTGTACATTAAAAGTACATCAATAAGTCTACACCTCAACATTTGTGTGAAGTAAAATTTTTTAAGATGAAAATTATGATCTGTCACCAGGTCTCTTATCACACTTGTGGCACTTACTATTAAATTATCAAATAGAATTTTTATTTGGCCAAATGAATCCCAATTACCTTCACTAAATAAAGTATTGAGTGTCATGATTCCAAGTTCTTGATTAATAGATTCGTCAACCGGAGGTTTAAACCTATACAAAAATTCAAATATATTAGTTAAATTATTTTAAAATAGCAAGTATTATATTTATATAAACTATGATTCATTAAGGATACTACAACCAAGGTAACAATGATACCAAGACTATAATAAAATTGACAGCCTTACCCCACTATTTAAGTCTAAGTTGAGAAAATTTAATTTACATTGATCAGCTCTAAGGTAGCTCAAAAAGAGTTTTAATTTTCTAGAATTTTGTATTTCTCTTGAAAAATATGACACTTATTTTAAATGTGGTCGCTATACAATTAGTTTATAAATAATTTACTACAATAATAATTATTACAAGTTTCACAAAAATAACTCTTATTAACAGTTAAAAAACTCAACACAGTGAGGACGTGGCATAGTTGGGTCAAGTATAGTGATATCTGACAATGATTAAAATCATTATCATAAAAAATTATAAATGTGGTTCTGATTGAAATTATATGTGAGAGTGCGTTATATGTATTCGTTATGAGTGAAAGTAAAAAAATAATGTATATAATGCTTAATTATTAAAAAATAGTAAAAAATTATATCATACATTTACTGATAATAATAATATGTGAGTACGATATGATATAATAATAATAATAATATCATATGTATAATGAATATAAAAATATAGGTAATAATTATGTAATAACAAGTAATGTGGATAAATGTCAATTTATAATTATTGTTATAAAAATTTTATATATGAGTAAATATTTTATATCAATAAATAATAATGTATAGAATAGTATTAACATTGTTATAGTCTATTACAGCAATATGATGTTCATTAGTACAGCCGTTGCTAAAATAATTATATGTAAAACGTAAAAAGCTTTTGTAGTGTTGTGCCTTTACAACATGTAGTCTAAAATACAATTTCATAAAATTAAAAAAACCCAGCACAGTGGGGTCGTGGCATAGTGGGGACGTTGCATAGTTGGGTCCAGTATAGATTTAATCTGACAGTGATTAAAGTCACTATAATAAAAGATGCTTTTATGCATATCTGTAGATATTGTTTAATTTTTAAAAATTAATGGATTATTCCAAAAGCTACATGATCTGCTATTTTCTTATTTATATTTCGATTAAGATAAAGTATGTAGAATGAAAGAGGAATTATAATTATTATATCTCATGTTATGGCAATTTTAAGTAAAAAAATTTGAAAAAAATGTCAAAAATTCCCCCATTTACGGGGAACAAGGGAATTTTTTTCAGTTTTTAGGATAATGTCTTCGACTAAATATGATTTGTGATCTTTTGACGTATCGTTGAATAAAATGGGTTCGGTGAAAGCTTAGAAAAATTGTTAAGACACAAAAAAAAAGACATCGCAGTAAAACATTCTCAGCTTCGCATCGAAGCTAAAAGTTATTTGGAATTATAATAATTCTAATAATTGTATTTTATATGTTTTTTTTATAACTATCACTACAACTGTTTTCATTATGTACTTATTAGTAGTTTAATAATTTTATCGAAATTTCTTTGTTTTTTACTTGTCAAGTTTGGTCCACATTGTTCATAAAATTAAAGATAATTTAATAATTTACTATGAGAGGTGACGACTTGGACCACGCTATTGATTATGGAGTCGCCACCCTCATGGCTCCCTTGCATAAGGAAAATCGGGTCGCCGATCACTTAGGTGAGGGTCTTAATCATAAAAAAGAAACAACACGCGAATCATAAGTGCATTAAAAAAAAATAAACAATAAGTAAACCAATAATATTAAATGAAATAATATACACTATGATGAAATAAAGTGGATCGTCGTCGAATATATATATACTAAAATATAAAGTGTTGTTGTAGACTATAATACGCTGATACCTTGTAAATATAACAAAATATGTTTGTTTGATGTCGTCAGTGGTGGTCATATTTTTAGTATGTCGAAGACCGTTACCTTAAAACTAGAGAGAATTATTTAAAGGAAAAAAAAATAAGATACACGTGAATATTTATGATATTCACGCAATAAAAACATTTTTGTCGATTAAGAAATTAAGGGGACTTTATTAAATTATGACAGTTAAGTTAATAGTGGACAAAACCCGAAGTCAAAAACCACTCTGAAAATAAAGGGACAAGAGAAAAAAAAAATTTAACCTACAACTTTTAAACATTACATGTGAAGTGTCTTCCGCATCGGAACAAGTCCGTGTACTCCAGGCGCGGCGGATAATATCTGTAATCGGGCCGGCCGGCCCGTACTTGGGCACTGCGGGAATAATATATATATGTATTAAATATACATGACACACTACTGACCAATAACCTTAAAAATATGAATACTAGCTTAAGTTTATATATGTTTCATAAAAAAAAACCCAGCACAGAGGGGTCGCGGCACAGTGGTGACGTGGCATAGTTGGATCAAGTATAATGATATCTGACAGTGATTAAAATCACTATAAAAAAAAAACGCTTCGATGCAAATCTTTAGATAGTGTTTAATTTTAAAAAATTGGTGGATTATTCCAAAAGCTACATGATCTACTAGTTCCTTAATAATATCCTGATTAAAATATAGTATATCAAATGAAAAAGAGATTATTAAAAAATATTATTTCTCATAAAAAATTGTATTGATCCATATATTTTTCAAAAAGTTATAGCATAATAAAGTTAAAAATGGAAATTATAAAATCGAGAATTTACACACAAAAATAGCATTCGGTAGCCGTTTTCACCATGAAGACAAGTCCAGAGGTCAA